AACCCAGAGCTCTAGAAATTGAATTCCTGCCGTGTGTGTGTGTGTGTGTGTGTGTGTGTGGAGTGTGATTGAGTGGGAGTGTGTTTGGTGTGCATTGGGGTGCGTGTTTTTGCATATGTATGAAGGTTTCTCAAAACCACTCCTGGAACATGGAATTCAAAGGTAACTTTACCTTGGTGCAAAAAAAAAAATGGTATAAATTTATGCATTATAGTTTACTCGGATTTATTGTTCGGGAACGTTGGAAGGTTACTGGTATCATGTAGCTAGTTCAGTGGTAAAACAATAGGAATTAGTCACCGTGGTTGCAAATGACCAGATGAGACCGGTAACAGGAAACAAGACTGGGAAGGATACCACTTTCCCAGGAAGAGAAACAGATCCTGGCTTCTCTTGGGTCAAGAGCCTTTCTCTGTGGCAACGGAGGATCTAAAAAGTTTTTTGTTTGTTTTTATTGAGAGAGAGAGAGAGAGAGAAGAGAGAGAAAGAGAGGGAGAGAGAGAGAGAGAGAGAGAGAGAGGTTCACTTGCTTAATGTCCACAGTGGTTGGGGTTGGGTTAGGGCTCAGAGCTCAATCCAGGTCTTTCATTATCCCACGTGGGTGGCAGGATGCCCAAGTTCTCAAGCTATCACTGTTGACTCCCAGGGTCGGCATTAGCAGGAAGTTGGACTGGTTTACCCACATTGAACTTGCTGTAGCTGCTGGTGGTGAAGAGTCCAAGTTGGCAAGCTATCACAAGAGGCAGGCACAACAACCAGGAGCTGGCACTGGTATGGGATGCAGGTATCTCAACAGGTGACTTAGCTGCCCGGCACTGGTACACACAGAGTAGATATCAAAAGTTACCCCTCATGTCTTTTCGCTCCCTTTTTGTTCTCTGCTTCCCATCCAGCTCTATGCTAAAAGGTCTGAACAAAACAGTGGAGGACAAACCAAGCTCTTGGGCCCTTGTCACCCACTTGGGAGACCCGAAAGGAGATCCTGGCTCCCGGTTTTGACTTTGGCCCAGTCCTTTCCATTGCAACCAACTGGGGAGTGAAAATATCAAATGAAAAATGTCTCTTTCCACTTCCAAAAGCTCATAGGAGGGTAGGTGTTTGGGACAACAATGAAGACACTGCTGGGAGTGCCTGCATTTCATATCGAAGCTTCTGGGCTTCAGTTTCCTCTTTGCTTCCTCTTCCAGCTTATTGCTAAGGCGTATCCCAAGTGTGTGGCATATGATAGCTCAGGGTACATGGGTCCCTGCCCCCCACATGTGGGACCCCTGTTGAATCCCTGGTTCCTGGGTTAAGGCAGGCATTAAAAGAGTCAACCTAACAGATCAAGGATTGCTGTATGTTTCCCTATGTCTCTTTCTGCTTTTAACATATAACCTTTGTTAAAAGCTTGCGCAAAATGAAACTGATGGTTACCACGGTAACCGGAGAAGGGTGGAGTTTGTCTCCAACCAGACCCGGAACGGATGGTGGAATTCTGGCGGGGCCCTCAGGCTGTGAGACCACCGTTGCACCAATGAGGGGCACAGACCCATATCCTGCCACCAATAAGGGCCGAGGCCACCCCCCTCTCTGCTTCTGTTTCAAGGAGAGTTTAAAAGGACCCCTTCTCCATCTCTTCCGTGTTCTTCTTCCTCTGGTGCGTGGGGAAGGGAAACAGCCAGGACCGTGGTTCCCTGAAACCATCTAAATTCTTTTCGTATTTTTGGCTGAGTTATTCTTCCCCTGGTGGTTGGCGAATGTAACATTTGGCAAGCGGCGAATCTAACAGAAACTATAAGAAAAGCTAATTTTGGTGCAAACCTTATTTTAGAATCCAAGATGAGGAATCGTCTGAGATTCATGGAAAATGTGAACAAACTGTGTGGGTGCTGAAACATGTTTACTTGAAAATAAACACCTCCGTTTACGCAAAAACTTTATTTTTTTTTCCTTTTAAAGATTTATTTATTTTTCTTGGGAAGGCATATTTACAGAGAGGAGAGATAAAGAGGAAGGTCTTCCATCTGCTGGTTTCCTCCCCAAATGACTACAAGTGCGGCTGATTCAAAGTCATGAGCCAGGAGCTTCTTCCGGGTCTCCCACATGGGTACAGGAGCCCAGGGACTTGAGCCATCAGCCATTGCTTTCTCAGTCCATAAGCAGGGAGCTAAATTGGATGTGCAGCAGCAGGGACACAAACTGGTACCCATGTGCGATGCCGGAGCTTGCAGGAGGATTATCCAGTTGAGCCATCATGTCGGCCCCTCCCCCAGGAACTTACTGAAGTTGCCTTATTATTTGAAGTTGCCTAAGTTACTGAAGGCACACAAGAAAGAATCCCAATTCCCTTTGGAAACCTGCTGCTAGTAAGTAGTACGGCCAGGCTAGAGCCAGACTCAAATACAGCAGTCTCCGCTGAGATGCACTCTTCTGAGCGTGTGAACGATGAATTCCAAGAACCCCATGGTCTAGGGACACCCACAGTTCTGAGAACAATGCAGGTGGGAGAGTTTCTTCCTGTGCACCGGCTGGGAGGGTTGTGCCTGAGGCTCAGACGTGGGTATGGTCTTCCCACATGCCCCATCTCTGGTCATCTGTCCTTGGCCTTTGAAAACAGTAGATGGAGATACACAGTGTTGTTGGATTGTGGGTTGAGACTTGAATTTCTACCTGGAATATTGGCAGAGCAAGTGCTTGCTTCCTTGTAACTGGGAGAGTCATGCTTGGATAAGACCTGGTTGTGTCCTCTGGGCTGAACCGTGTGCCCTGGACTCGTGTTGATGTGTGTGACTCCGGCAAGAATGGGTGACATCAGGGTGGTCACAGTGTATCCAATGAAAGCTGCAGAGCATTGAATGCTTCTGGTTGTAGAGGATGAATGTACACTGTTGGGTGAAATTGGCTACTGGCAGGTCCATTCGGTCCACAAGAGCCTTTGGTATTTTCTGGTAAAGTTGGGTGGTACTCCCCCAGCACCCCAGAATACAAGTTTAGTTCTTCTCAAAGCCTACCCCACTTCCCATTCCAGACTAGAAACTAAGAATAGGAGGATATGTGGCAGGAAATCAATGCTTCCTGCTGACTCCTTCAAACACCTGGTTCAGGTGGGTCATGGCAGGGTTGCAAACATGGTATACTGGGGTTGAAAAGAGAGACTGCACAGCCTTCCAGGCAGGGGTCCCGATGGCTGCGTCTAAGAGTTTCCTATGGGAGGTGACCAGCATTTCGAGCAAAGGTGAAGATGTTCCACGGACAAGTCATCCTTGAATTGGGTCTCTGTGTTCCCGGTCCCTTCACCTGCAGTAACCTCAGCCTCCCTTCTTTCTTCCGTATCATCAGGAACTAGCAACACCGTTTCCCCTTATGTGACCTCATTGCTCAGCACAGAGCTGTCGGGCACAAGCACCACCCCGAGGCCAAGCTCCACTCCAGGGGTGAGGAGCACTGCGAGGGAGGAGCTGGCCACTCATGAAGCAACAGCGGATACGCAAACGGTACTCCCTTCCGAAGGGACAGCACTGGCTGATCCAGGGGCCCAGAGATCAACGCAGGGATCCCGTGCGTCTTCTGCTTCTGACTCAGGGACACGCAAGGTTGTCACAGCTACCGCAGGGGATGCACGTGTTCCCACGGACACTCCTGGCTTCTCCAATGCGACGAGGGCTTCCACACACCAAGCTTCCTACCTCACAGGTGGGTTTCTGGAGACCTCAGACCCCACAGAGGCCGGCTCAAGCAGAGAACCAATTGTGGACCTTTCCCAACTGCCTGCTGGTGCATCCACAGGGGATTCCAAGACACATGCTCTCTCCTCTGGAAGAGTACACATCCTCAACCCAACGCAATCCATGGAGCCACCACACAGCCCTGTTGGACAGATCTCGGCATCCCCTAGTTCCCCACCCAGGGGAGAGTCTGCAGATGTAACCAGAACAGCCCAATCAGGGCATCCTGAGGCTACGGTAGACAGTACTCTTGCTGGGGAAAAGTCAGCCATGACATGGTGGGCCAGGGCCATGTCGATGGAGACTCAGCACTCCCAGGAGACCCGTCTTCTGAAGACAGACCCTGAGCCTGGGTTGAGAGCAAGCACGGCCTCTGTGGGTAAAACAACCTCCTACTCGGCCCTCCTGCCTTCTTCCTCTGCCATGGCCTCACCTTCCCCTGTCCCTTCTGCTTTACCCAAGAGCAGCCCCTCCTCTCCTCTGACCATTTCTGCTCTTAGCAGCACAGATCCTGAACTTGTATCTGGGGCCAGCCCTCCCTCTGTGGATGAAACAACTTCTGAGTCCTCTCTGCCATCTCCCCATTCAGTGACTTCCCCTCCTATTTCCTCTGCTTTAGCCAAGGACAGTATCCCTTTGTCTCTTCCCACCCCATCCCTGCTGTCATCTGGCCTGAAGAAGACCACAGAGAATTCGGACAGCAGCCTGCAAGTGGTGATTCATCCACCTTCCTCCTTGACCATGGGACTCAGAGAGGCAATCCAAAACTCAGAGACAAGCAGCTCAACTGCAGAGACCAGCACCAACCCTTCTGAACTGGCCACCGATGCCACAGCAGAGGTGACCAGGACAGACGTCATGTCCTCTAGCCCTGTCCCAGCTCAATTCACAGAGTCCCTGCACACCCACGCTGGAAAGATGTCTTCCGTTGTGACAGAACCTGCACACTTGACTGTCACCATCCAAACAGAACCTCCAGGAGCAGTGTTACAGGAGACTCACACCGGGGAAGAGTCAACCGCAACACAGCAGGCAGGGATCGCATCAAGGGAAACGCACCACCCAGAAGTGAGCGTGGGCCCTGAGCATGTGTCCAGGGAGAGCACGGCTGCTGTGAGTCAATCAACTTTGGCCCCTGCTGCCCTGTCTCCTGCTGTGCCCTCACCTTCCCCTGTCCTCCCAGCACTACCAGAGAACAGTTCCTTTTCTCGGATGGATTCTTCACAGCTCCCTTCTGTGACCACTCCACTCGCAGAAACCAGTCGTCCAAATCTGAGAAGTGTCCCAGATGATGCACTGGCCTCCTCTGACATGACCACAGAGTTAGACAAAACTCTTCCTTCCTCAGTTGCAACAGCAACCACTGTGGAGACCACCCATACCAGACAGGGACCGACTTCCTCTGTCCTAGCTGAACTAGAATCATCCACAGACACAGCTCCACGGGTGACTTTTTTCTCCTTAGGAGATCCAAGTGTTTTGCCACCTACCTCTGACGTCTTTGATACCATAAAGACCCCCAGGGAGCCAACATCCTCCCTGACCATGGGATTGGGTACCACAAGCACCATTGAGGGTGCCAGTTCAGCAGCAAACACAAGCCCTGGCCTTTCTAAAGATACTGGACAAAAATCTTCCTCTGTCGCACCTGTCCCAGAGACCCACAAAGCTACATCTCCACAGGGAACTGCTGCGCTCTTGGGGGTTAGCAATATTTCTCCATCCAGCCCTGCCTTCTCGGAGGCTACCAGGATACACGGGGTGCCAACAGCTTCTCTGATCACAAGATTAGCAGCCACCAGAACATCTGAGGGGGCTAGCTGGACAGCAGAGACAAATCATGGCTTTTCTAAAATGGCCACTGATGTTGTCACTGGGATGGCCAGGACAGAACTCATCACTTCTGGTCAGACACCCACTCAACAGCCATCTCAAACCACACAGTCCCTGGATAACACATCTGGAAAGCCCTCTGGATTCTCGAGCTCCCCAGATTTGATAGCATCTGGGGACGCCAGCATCTTCGCTCAGCCAGGGCGTCACAGGGCTCCAACACACTGGACTTCCAGGGAGGACGCAGCAAAGAGAACGGCGTGGGTGGGGACTCCCTCAACTGTGTCTCAGACCCACCCTCCATCAGAGGCCTCAGTTCTTGGAAGCGTGGACCCCAAGAGCATTTCGAGGTCAAGTCCACCCTCTGTGGACGAAACAACTTCCGGCTCTCCTCCTTTGTCTTCCTCTCTCATGACCTCACTTCCCGTGTCTTCCACGTTAACACATGGCAGCACTTCTTTTCCTCCTGCTCCATCTCTGCCCCCATCTGACCTGAGCAAGACCACATATGCTCTGCACACGAGCCTGGAGAGGGACTCCAGTCTCCCTTCCTTCCTGGTCACGGGATTAACAGAGACCAGCAGGGCTGAAGCAAGCGGCTCAATGGCACGGACTGATGTGTCCCGATCGCCCACTGTTGCCACTACCGAGATCACCAGGACGGAAGTCAGCAGCGCGATCCAAGGACCCTCCCGCAGTCCAGCTCACTCCACAGAGTCACCAGACACTGCCCCTGGGAAGACCACCATGCTCATTAAGTCCCCTGTCACGACAGAATCAGCACCCACGGCCATCACCACTCGAACAGCTCCTTCTGCAATGACAACGCAGAGCGCTCTCACCAGCGAGAAGTCAACGTGGTGGGCGGGGACCACATCCATGGAGACTCAGCACACAGAAATGACCAGTCTTCCAAGAACGGGTCCTGAGAACCCATGGAGAGCAAGCTCGGCCTCTGTGGGTGAAGCAACTTTGGCTCCTGTCTCTCTGCCACTTCCCGTCTCGGCCTCACCTTCTCCTGCCTCTCCCACGTTAGCAGAGGGCAGCCCCTCTTCTATGATGGATTCTTTACAGCTCCTCTCTGGTCTGCCAGAAACCACAGAAGTCTTGAGTACAAGCCAGTCCCCAGCATCCAATCCTTCTCTAGGTTTGAGTAGTGCCCCAGTCAGCACCGTGGCCTTCTCTGCCATCACCATGCAATCAGACAAAACTCTTCCTCACTCAGACTCAGCATCGACCACAGTGGAGACCACCATTCCTGGACAAGAATCCCTCTTCTCTGATCCAGCTGGCCCAGAACCATCCATAGACACATCTCTACAGAGGATTGCCTCCTCCTTGGGGCATACAAGTACTTTGCCATCCACCCCTGACCTCCTTGATGCTTCAAGGACCCCCAAAGGGCCAATGTCCTCCCTGACCACAGGGCTGAGAGCAACAAGTACCTCTGAGGGGACCAGCTCCGCTGCAGAGCCAAGCCCTGGCTTCAGTGCCTACACTGAGGTGTCCAGTGAAAAAGTCATCTTTTCAGGCAGGGCGACCAACCCACAGCCGGGTGAAGACACCCAATCACCAGACAACACCTCTGGAGAGATCTCTGCATTCACCAGCTCCCTGGCCATGACACAATCTGTGGACGTGACCCCTTCCATCCAGGCCTGCTGTAGCTCAGCAACAACTCCAAGGACCACCAGGGGTGACACTTCAACGTGGATGGGAGCCCCCTCTAACGGGACACACGGTCTTTCTCATCTGCAAGCAACCGTCCTTACGAACGCAGGTCCTGAGAATGCGTTAAGGACTCACCAAGCCTCTGTGGATGATGTAACTGCTGACCCTTCCCCGCTGTCGGCTCCTACCACATCCTTCGTTTCAACAGAGGACCCCGCCTCTTTTTCTGCCGTCACTCCTTCACTTCCGACTTCCGGCCTTACCAAGACCTCCAACGTTGTAAGCGCCAGCATGGACACAGCGAGCAGTCCATCCCCTCTCCTGACCACAGGGGTGAGGGACAGCAGGATTTCTGCAGGAAAGAGCTCCACCACAGAGATGAACTCTGAACTTTCTGAACTGCCTGCCAGGGTGACCACGGAAGTGTCCTCTAGCCCAACACATATCCCCATCCCAGCTGAATCCACAGAGTTGCCACACTCCCCCGCTGGAAGGACCATTCTGTCTGAGTCACATTACGTTACAGAATCTGCTCGTGCAGCCATCAACACCGACACAGGGTCTCCCAGGGCACTCACACGGAGCATCTTTGCTGGGGAAAAGTCAACCACAGCATGGCTGGCTGCAACCACTTTGATGGAGACTCACCCCTGGGAGGAGTCCAGTCCTCTGAGCACAGGCCCAGAGCCCATGTTGAGTGCAAGCACGCCCTCTGAGACTGAAGCAACCTCTGACTCTGTCCTCCAGTCTTCCCCTGTCACGACCTCACCCTTTCCTGTTCCCTCAACATTCCCTGGGTTCCCCGGGAGCAACCCCTCCCATCCCATGAGCCATGCCTCCAGGCTTACCTTTAGACGGACGAAGACCGCAGAAGTTGGCAATGCAAGCCCAGACTCTGAATCTACTCCCTTCCTAAATCTGAGTAGTGATAAAGCACTAGCCTCCGCTGCAGTCAAAACGGAGTCGGGCAAGAGTCCTCCTTCCGCAGACACAGCAGCCACCCTGTGGGGGACCCCTAGTCCTAGACAACAATCGCCTTCCTCAGTCCCTGCTGATACAGAGACCCCCAGAGCCACATCTCCACAGGTGACTGCCTCCTTCCCTGGGGATGCAACTGTTTCCCCATCAACCCTTGACCTCTTTGATACCACTTGGGTACCCAGAGGGCCAGCCTCCTCTCTGACCACTGCATTGGAATCAACCAGCGCTTCTGAAGAGAACAACTCGACAGCAGAAATAAGCAGTGGTGTTTCAGAAGGGGTCAGTGGGGCTACCCTTGAGGCACCCAGGGCAGAAGTCACCTTCTCCAGCAGGACCCCCCACCCACACCTGGCTCAACCAACACCGTCTGCAGACATCACCACCAGAATGACCTCTGGGTTCCCTAGCTCCTCTGTCATGGTGGAATCTACAGACGCAACCATCTCTACTCTGCCCAGGCACGATGGGACAGCAACCCATAGCACCTTCAGCAGGGACACATCAGTAGGGACCGCCTCTACTGTGGCTCAGCGACTTTCTTACTCAGAGGTCATTGCTGTTAGCAGCAAGGGCCCTGAGAACGTGCCCAGGTCCAGCCCACCCTCTGTGGATAGAATAACTTCTGAGCCTTTGCTGCCGTCATCCTCAGTCATGACCTCAGCTTCCATGTCTGCGTTGACACAGGACAGTCCCTCTTTTGCTTTTACTACATCTTTTCTGCTTACGTCCAGCCTGAAGAGGACCACTGACCCGGAAGTGGAAACCAGTCCGTCTTCTGTCCTGATCACAGGAGTTACAGAGACCAGCAGCTCTGAAGCAAGTGGCTCAGCTGAAGAGGCCAACTCTGACCTTTCTGAAATGCCCCCTGGGGTCACCACCGGGACAGAAGTCACGTCTTCTAGCCCAGCACACACCCCACGCCCAGTTCAATCCACAGACACACTGCATACCCCCACTGGAGAGATCTCTAACCTTCCTGCCACGACAGACTCTGAACACATCTCCATGGCCACCCACACAAGTGATCCTGCAGGGGCAACACGTGGCATCCTCACTGGGGGGAAGTCAACCACCAGCTTATGGGTAGAGTCTCATACGGCTGTGACTCAGAGTCCTTCTGACATGGACATGAGTCCTAAGCATATATCCAGGGCAGGTACGTCTTCTGGGGATGAAACAACCACTGACAGCTCCCCCGACACTTTGTACCATGGGACCTCGCCTTTTCCTGTGGCCTCCTCATCACCAGAGAGTAGCCCACTTTCCCTTGTCGTCATTTCCTCACCGCGTCCCTCTGCTGCGGTGAAGGCCACAGATGGCTTAACCACAGCCCAAGAAGCCAGAAGCAGGCCATCTCTAAATTCAAGTGCCATCTCACTAGCAATACGGACCACCTCCGCAGACACCACAGATAGAGACAAGGTTCCATCTTTCTCAGGAAGAGCCATGGCCAATGTGGATACCCCAGGTCCCAGGTCGCTTGGTCCAGCAGACCCAGAAGCCGGCACAGCCACATCTATTTCAGATGCCACCACGGGAAATCCAGGATTGCTGACCACAACACCTACCTTCCCCGACTCTGTTAGGACACACATAGGGATAACACCCTCACCGACTGAGCCACTGAAAGAGACCAGCACTTCTAAGGTTGTGTTCCCCACAGCACAGACAGCCTCAGGCCCTCCTGGCCTGTTAACCGGGGTTGCCAGGGAGACCTCTGGAACAGAGGCCACCTCCTTGGAAGGGAATCCCACCTTGGGTATCGCTGGACCCAGGGAGTCCACAGACACTCCCAGTGGAAAGAGTGTCGAGTTCTCTAGCTATCCTGACATAACAGAACATGCTGGCCTGACCCTCACCAGACAGACAGGTCATTCCAGGGTGGCGACACAGAGACCCCATGCTGTGAACACATCTGCATCAATCTGGCAGGCTGGGACCATAGCAATGGGGGCTCAGAGTCTCCCCAGCCCAGAGGGTCCAAGGCTTCCAGACACAGTTCCTGAGAACATGCCAAGGGCGAGCACGGCCATCGAGGAGCAGGCCACTGCAGTCTCACCTGCTGGGACCTCACCTTCTCCTGTTCTCTCCACACTCCCCAAGACCGGACCCTCCCCTCCTCTGCTAGCTTCCGCCCAGTTCACCTCTGGTCTGACAAAGACCACAGATGTTACAAGCATGAGTCCACCACCAGCAACCGGTCCACCTACAATGTCGAGTAGCACCCCAGAGGATGCACTGGCCTCCGCTGACGTCACCACAGATTCACAAGACACGTCTTCCTCAGACACACCATTGGCTATGGTGGACACCATCAGTGCTGGACGAGACTCTCTTTCCTCTGTCGCACCTGACCCAGAGACCCACAAAGCTACATCTCCACAGGGAACTGCTGCGCTCTTGGGGGTTAGCAATATTTCTCCAACCAGCCCTGCCTTCTCTGAGGCTACCAGGACACACGGGGTGCCAGCGGCTTCTCTGATCACAGGATTAGCAGCCACCAGAACGTCTGAGGGGGCTAGCTGGACAGCAGAGACAAGTCCTGGCCTTTCTGAAGGGGCCACTGGAGTTACCACTGAGGTGTCCGGGACACAAGTCCTCTCTTCTGTGAAGAAACCCACCCCAGAGCCAACTCCACACACACAGTTCTCCGGCACTCCTACCAGAAAGCCCTCTGAGTTCGTGATGGCATCTGTAGCCATGGCTACCTCCAACCAGCCAGGTCATCATGAGGCTGCATCACAGAAGACGCTTACTGAGGGCCCATCGGTCAGATCCACATGGGTGGGCACCACCTCCAGCACGATACAGAGTCTTCCAGAGAGGACCACAAGTGAAGACACAGGTCCTGACAATGTGTCAAGGGCAAGCACGACCTCTAGGGACAAAACAGCCTCTGAGGTTTCCTGGAAATCCTCCCATGATGGGACTTCATCTTTTCCTGCTTCGTCTGTAACACCAGAGAGGGGCCCCACTTCCCTTGCTGTTGTGTCTGGCGTGGCATCCCGCTCGAGCGTGAATGATACAACCTATGGTCCTGCTCACCGATCTTCACCTGCGGTGACCTCATCATCTCCTGCTTCGTCCACATCAGCAGACAGCAGCCCCTTCTCTCCCCTGACCACTGCTTCACTGCTCACCCCTGGTCTGACGCAGACCACAGAGATGAACACAACCCCGCCACCGGAAACCAACTTGTCTCTAAATCCCAGTAGTACCTCAGTTGATGCATTACCTTTCTCTGATGTCCACACAGAGTCGGACAGGAGTCCTCCTTCCTTAGAATCAGCAGTGACCGTGGTGGACACCGTCAGTGTTGGACAAGAACCAGTCTCTTCTGTCCTGGCTTCCCCAGAGACAACCACAGCTACATCTCAACGGGTGACTGATGTCCCCTTAGGGGATACAAGTATTTTCCCATCAACCCCTGCCTTCTTTGATACAACCAAGAGTCACAGAGGGCCAACGTTTTCCTGGACCACTGGATGGAGAGCAACCAGTGCCTCCGAGGATGGCAGCTCTACAGCAAAGACAACTGGCCTTTCTGAAGGGGCTGTTGGAGCTACCACTGAGGTCACTGGGACAAGAACCATCTCTGCTCACCAAGCACATAGCACAGGCCCAGTCCAGCCACCAGGGTCACCACGCACTCCCACTGGGAAGAGCTCCGGGTTTCCAGCCTCCCCTATGGCACAAAGCACCCTTCTAGGGGAAAAGCCAACCACAAACTCAAGAACAGGACCCCGTAGTGCTGTGACTCAGAGTCCTTTCCACTTGGAAACGACCACTTTTCGAAGCTGGAAACCCGAGCATGCCTCATGGACAAGCACCATCTCTGTAGCTACAACAGCCTCCGAGGATGCTCGGAATTCTGCCCGTCACGTGACTCCAGTTCCTGTTTCAACAGAGAGCAGCTTCTCTTCTCCCCTGACCACTTCTTCACTGCTCACCTCTGGTCTGATGAAAAACCCTGATGTCATGAGCGCAAGCCCACAGCCAGCAACTGGTCCACCTACCATGTTGAGTAGTACCGCAGGGGATGCACTGGCTATCTCTGACATCCCCGCAGAGTCACAGGACATTCCAACTTCCTCAGACACAGCAGTGACCATGCTGGAGACCACCAGTCCGGGACGAGAGCTCCCTTCCTCTGCCTCAGCTGATTTGGACGTGGCCACAGCCGGTTCTCCTCCACTTACTCTGTCCTCTTCTTCACAGTACTTGAGTGTCTCCTCATCAGCTCCTGACCCCTTTGAGGCCACAGGAATGTACCACGGGCCAACAGCCCTCCTGGCCACAGGATTGACAGCAAGCGGTACCTCTGAGGGGACCAGCTCAACAGCAGACACAAGTCTTGGCCTTTCTGAAGGGGCCACTGCTGCTGCCAACAAGGCACCCTGGACAGATGTCCCCTCTGCTGGAAGGACGCTTGAGCTGCAGCCGCCACCCATCACAGCCGGAAGGATCTTTATGTACTCTAGCTCTCCAGCCATGACAGAAACTGCAGATGTGACCACCTCCATCCGGTCAGGCCCTATTGGAGCAACGACGCAGAGCCCGCTTAACACAAAGACATCGGCCAGGACCACATGGAGGAAGATTCCCTTGACTGTGGCTCAGAGTCTCCCTCACTCCGAGATGACCGCTGTCAGAATTATGGGTTCTGAGAGTGTGTCAAGCACACAGCCACCTCCTGTGAACGTACCCCCTTTTGGCCCTTCCCCGCTGTTACCCGCTGTCATGACTGCACCCACCCCAGCTTCTGCTGTTGCAGAGGACAGCCCCGCTTTATCCCTTTCCACTTCGTCACTGCTCACATCTGGCCAGAAGCTTGAAGACACAGAGCGCTTGAAGACACATCAGGGCATGGCCATCGGTCAGCTTTCTTCCGTGACCATGGGGTTGAGAGAGGCCACAAACTCTGAGGCAACCAGCTCAACAGCACAGACCAGCACTGACCCTTCTGAATTGCCCACTAGTGCTACCACCAAGGCAGGTGGAACAGGAATCGTCTCCCCTAGCCAAGCACCCGTGCCCAGCCCAGCTCCATCCGTAGAGTCACCACACACCTACACTGGAATGAGCTCCAGGTTCTCCGAGTCTCCCACCATGACACAATCTTTAGCAAAGGCCGTCGTCACCAACCAGTCCGGTCGTCCTGAGGGCCCGTCACAGAGCACTCCCCATGGGGACACACCAGCCACACACTGGTGGACAAGCACTACCTTGACTGTGGCTCAGAGTCCACCCCACTCAGAGGAGACTACTCTTAGAAGTCTAAGTCCTGACCTTACGTCTGGGTCATCCCTTCCTCCCTCTGTGATCAGAACCATCTCCGATCCTCCTGCAGTGTCTCAACCTGCCATGACCTCACCTCCTGCTGTTTCCTTTCTGCAAAAACAGCAGGGTCCCCCATCTTCCCCACCTCCTACTTCTTCACTGACCAGTGGAACTTTCATCACAATCCTGGAACCAGTAACAAGTCAGAAGACCACCGAAGTCATGAGCACAAGCTGGCAGCAACCTGACTCCTTTCCAAGTCTGACTAGCACCTCAGTGGATGGACTGGGCCCCTCTGACATCACCACAGAGTCAGACAAGAGTCCTCCTCCCTCAGACATGGCGATAACCATGGCAGACAGCACCAGCGCAGGACAAGAATCCTCTTCCTCTCTCCTGGCTAGCTCAGATGCATCTAATGTGACTTCCTCCTCCTTGGGGGATCCAAGTATTTCCTCACCGACTCTTGTCCTTTTCAATACTACAAGGATGCACAGAGGGTCAACCTCCTCTCTAACCACTGAATTCAGAGTAACCAGCACCTTTGAGATCAGCTCAATAGCAGAGGCAAGCCCTGGCCTTTCTGCAGGACATCCTGGGGCAACCACTGAGGTATCCAGGACAGAAGAAGACATTTCTGCTCGTGGGATACCCACTCCACAATCAGCTCAAACCCCACCATCACCAGACATCACCACTGGAAACAGCTTCTCTACCATGGTGGAATCAGCAGACCCGACACTTTCTGTCCAGGCAGACCATAGCCTGGGGCCTACACAGAGGACCCACAGTGGGGACACACCAGCTCCAACCATCTGGACAGGGATTCCTTCAACACCGACTCACAGTCTTCGTCATTCAGAGGGGACTGCTCTGGGGAGTGTGTCAAGGACAAGTCCACTTTCAGCGACTGAAACAACTTCTGAGTCCTCCCCCTCATCTTCCCCTGTGGAGGTCTTGACCCCTGAGTCCTCCGTGTTAGCACAGGACAACACTCTTTTTTCCGCTTCCATTCCTTCAGCGCTCACATCTGGGCTGAACGAGACCACACAGGACCTGAGCATGAGCCCGGTTCTGGTAACCAGTCCCCCTCCTTTCCTGACGACGGGATCGAGAGAGGCCAGTAGCTCTGAGGCAGCAAGCTCAACTGCAGAGACCAACAGAGACCTTTCTGAATCGCCTGCCGCTGCTATGACCGAGGTGTCCAAGACAGAATTGTTTTCTAGCCAGGAATATGGTACAGCTCCACCTGCAGAGTCACCACAAACCCCTAGCAGGAAGAGCTCCACTTTCTCTAATCCCCTTGACATGATGGAACCTGCCAAGATGACTACCATCAATGATACGGGTTCTCCAGGGACAATAATACAGAGCACCATCGCTGGGAAAAAGTCAACCACGTCATGGTGGGCAGGGACCACGTCAGTGGAGACTCGCAACTCAGAGAGGACCAATCTTCTAAGCACGGATCCTGAGAATGTGTCGAGGGCAAGCACGACCTCTGTGGGTGAGGCAACCTCACACTTGGCCTCCTTTTCTCTCTCTGCCATAAACACTTGGTCGTCTGTCTCCTCCACGATAACAGAGAGCAGTACCCCCTCCCCTCTGACCGTCACTTCTGGTCTGATGGAGATTACTGAAGTTTTAAGTACAATCCTGGAACCAGAATCTGGTCTCTCTCCACATCTGACTAGTGCCCCAGGGCATGTTCTGAACTCATCTGAAGTCAAAACAGAGTCACAGCAGGCTTCATCTTCCTCAGACACGTCAGTGACCATGATGGACCCCACTGGTTCCTCCATCCCAGCTGACCTAGAGATAGCCAAAGCCACATCTCCGCAGATGACCACCTCCTCCTCCTCTGGGGATGCAAGCATTTCACCATCAACCCCTGACCTCTTTACCACAACATGGATACCCAGAGGGCTGGCCCCCTCTCTGACCCCTGGATTGAGATCATCCAGTGCTTCAGAGACGAACTCAACAGCAGAGACGAGTCCTGGTCTTTCTGAGGGGGACACTGGTGCTACCACTGAGGTATCCAGGGCAGAAGTCATCTCTACCAACAGGACACACATCCTGGAGTCAGCTCATGGCACAGGGCCTGAGAATGTGTTAAGAGCAAAGGATCCTAGACAAGAATCATATCCCTCTCTCCCAGCTGACCCAGGGATATCCTCAGCCACATCCCTACAGGTGACCGTCTCTGCCTCGGAGGATACCAGTATTTCTTCGACTCTTGACCCCCTTGACATTACAAGGACTCCAGAAAAACCAATGTCCTCAACTTCAGGATTGACAGCAAGAAGTACCTCTGAGGGGGTCAGCTCAGCAGCAGAGACGAGCACTGGTCTCTCTGAAAGGGACACTGGATCTACCACCGAGGTGCCCAAGACACAAATCCTCTCTTCTGGGAAGACGCCTCTCCCATATCCAACTCTAGCCACACGGTCATCAGACGTCATTTTTGACAAGGTATCGGAGTTCTCCAGCTCCATCCTCATGACAGCACATGCGGACAAGATCACCTCCATCCAGTCAGGTCATCCCGAGACTACATCACAGAGCATTTTCACTGGGTATAGATCAACCTCAAGGTCATGGGTAGACAATCTCTCGAGTGGAATTCATCGTTTTCCCTCCTCTAAAGTAACTACTCCAACGAGCACGGGTTCTGAGACTGTGTCAAGTTCAAGCCCTGTCACCGTGGGCGGAATACAGGATGCGTCATCCCTTCCATCTTCTCCTCATCCTGTCGTGACCTCATCTGCTCTTTCCTCTGTATCATCAGAAGGAGACTTCTCCTCTCCTCTTACCAGTTCTTCCCTGATCATGCCTGACCTGGTGCAGGCCACACACGATTTGGGTGCAAGCATTGAGCCGGCAACCATTCCGCTGTCTTCCTTGATTAGTAGACTGAGAGAGCAAGCCACCTCTGCATCAACTGGCTCTGTACGGACAAGCATTGGCCTTGCCGATTCACCTAGTGTAGCTACTACTGAGGTTGCTGGGATGAAAGTCATCTCCCTGAGTGAGGCATCTACCCCAGATGCTGTTCATTCTGTGACGTCACTGGATCTACCAACTGGAACTGTCAACCAGGTGTCTATCTCCCTTCCTGTGACCAAATCTGCATATGTGACTCAGCCACCCGTGGGTGTATCATACGGTACCCATTATTGGAACACGTCTAACACAACATCTTGGCCAAGGACCCACTCCTCTGTGACAGCAGACTCTGCCCAGCCTGAAGGTCACCTTCTCATGAGCAGTGATCCAGGGACAGTGGCTAGGATGGGCACTACCTCTGTGGATAGCACCGACTCAGCCTCATCCTCATCCTTGGTGCCTTCCTCAGCCACATCCTCATCCTCTGCTTCCTCCACACCATCAGAGGACAGGCCCTCCTCTTCTTTTCCTGTCCCCTCACATTTCACTTCTTACCCCCGTGTGTTAGGTCCCAGTCTAGCTCCACAAACACATTCAACTCCAAATATGAGGGGTACCTCAGGAGAGCCACTGGCCATTACAGAGCATCCTTCCAGAGGGACATCCATGGTCACTCTGAGGACCACCAGTTCTGCACGTGTTTTTTCTTTCTCTGTCTCAGCTGATTCCGAGAAGCGCAAAGTCACATCTTTAGAAATGCCCACCTCTATTATAAAGGATCAGAGTGTTTCTTCTTCTGTAACTCCTGCCTTCTCACATACTCTGAGGATCCCTCCAGAGCCAACTTTCCCCCTGGCTACTGAACTATGGAAGATGAGTTCCTCTGAGGAAATCAGCTCAACTGTAAAGACAAGTACTTGGCTTCTGGAAGAGTCCACTGGTACTGGGACATCGGACCCTGGGACAGAAGACATCTCCTCTACCAGAACACACATCCAGGCTGCTCAATCCACACATTTACCAGCTATGGCCACTGCAAAGATCTCCGAATTCTCCAGCTCTCCTGTCATGACAGAGTCTATGGATGAGACCATCGCCGCCTTGTCAGGTCATCCTGGGATGACAGCGCAGGCCACTCTTACCCAGGAAACCTCCTCCACCTCATCCTCCTGGGCGGGGACCTCCTCAATTGTGACTCAGAGTCTGCCCCATTCAGAGGTGACTGCTCTTCTGAGCGGGGATCCTAGCACTGTCCCAAAGCCACACCCACCCTCGGTGGATGAAACAACCTCTGGCTCTCTTCTGCCATCTTCCCCTGCCATGACTTCACCTTTGCCTGCCTCCTCCACTCTGGGAGAGGAGAGTCCTTCCTCTCCTCGTGTCACTTCACAGCTTACGGCTGTGACAATGAAGAACACACATGTGACCGCATCAAGCCCAGGATCGCAAAGCAGTTTAATTCCAACCATGAGGAGCACTCCAGGGGATACAGTGCCTCCGTATGAAGCCACTGCAGGCACTGAAGCAGAAAATCCTTCCACAAGCACAGCAGTGACCACCGTGGGAAGCACCAGTGCTGTGCTGGCTGACTCAAGGACATCTGAAGCCACATCACCAAAGGTTTTCACATCTGCCTTAGGGGAGACCTCGGTTTCTGCGACAGCGCATGACTCTGCTCTGGTTCTACACAGGGAGACTCAGACTGCATACTCCCCGACCTCCATGTTGAAAGATACCAGCACCTTCCAGGATTTGCGCTCTGGTCCTTCCGAAGCATCTCCCCACGTTCCTACAGAGAGCTCCGGCTCAGAGCTCAGCTCCTTGAACAGAACATCTGATCCAAACCTTGCTCGATTCATGACGTCACTTCCTCACTCAGCTGACATCACCAGGCCTTCCACCACCTCCATTCTCACGGTGGAATCTGCAGACACGAGTGTCCCAACCCAAACTGGGCCACCCACACACACAAGCAATAGCACTCATCAATGGGACATCTCACAGAGAGCCTCTTGGCCAGTGACCCACTCCACTGTGGCTCAGAGATTTCCCCAGAGAGGGGAGAGGACCGTTACCAGCAGCCATCCTCAGACAACGTGGAGAACCAGCAGTCTTCCTGTGGGAAAAACCATCTCTACCTCCTATGCAACACCTTTAGCTGCCACAATCTCACCAGCTTCCGGTTCCTCCGGCTTAGCTGAGAGGGGCCCCTCCACTGCTCCATCCGTGACTTCATTGCTGTCTGCTGGACTGCTGAAAACCACCGAGGTGATGGGCAAAAGCCCTGCTCCCGGAAGTAATTCAGCGCCCAGTAGGCATGGTATCTCAGAGAGGCTGGCCACTGATGTGACTCCTATAGACACTAATGTAAGGCATCCTTCCACAAGCACAACAGTGACTACTGTGTACAAAAGCCCTGTTGAACAAGAATCCATGTCCTCTTTCCAGGGTATCTCAGATACATCCAGATCTACATCTGCACTGGTTACTAATCTCACCACGCTGGAGGCTGTTGTTCCCACGGCAACGCCTGGCTTGTCTGACATAAAGACTGTAATGAAGTTGGTCTCCTCCGTGGCTTCCACACCGAGGGAGACAAGTCCCTCCGTGATCAGCTCAGTCACAGAGACAAGCTATGGCCAATGGGCAGGGCCTCCTGGCACAACCACTGAGCTCTCCATGACCGAAGCCATCTTCCCCGCTAGGACACCCATCTCTGGCTCTCTTCCCCTCACGAAGCCATCAGGCGTTTCCACCGGGAGCATCACCAGGCACTCTACCTCCCTCATCATGACTGAAACCACGGAGATGGCCGTGACCACCCAAGTGGGTCCTCTTGGGACCACAAGGCAGAGTACACTCAGTGGGGAAATAAGGGCCACAGACACACAGGCAGAGACCCATTTGCTTGTGAATGAGGAATTCCCACACTCAGAAATAACCATCATGGCCGTTAGTCCCTATCCAGAGGATGCATTGCAGATGAGCACAGCCTCTGTGAGGGGGTCCAGCTCAACAGAGGAAACAGTGCCTTTTCCTGCCATGACCACAACTACGCCTCATGCCTCCATATTACCAGAGAGCACCATGGCCATTCCTAGTACACAAGGGGAAGAAGTCACATCAGATATTACAGCAACAATGGTCTCACCCACGGCACCAGGGGATGTGAGTTCATGGATTACTAACTCTGAGACAACCACCAGAACCACACCGGTACCCCCGAGTCATTCTCCATCTGAACTTGTGACCACAGCCTCAATGGATACACATCTTGGATCTGGTACCAGTATACCAGCTTCAATTCCAACAGGTGCACCTGCTATAGCAGGGAAGGTGACGTTGCTGGGAACCAGCCCTGAGACAGACACAGGCACAACCATTCCTGAGCTGACTGCTTCCCCAACCCAGTCTGAGTCATCCAAAGCCACATATCCAATGGTCACAACCTCCTCCATGGGCAAGGCCACTATTCAATCATCATTGCCGACAAACATGGAGTCCACAAGTTCTGAGGCAGAACCAATTTCCAATTCAGCTTCCGGATTGAAGGAACACAGCATGTCCCTGGACACCAGCACAGCCATACCCAACAATATCTCATCTCCTGCGTTCACTCACCTTGTGCACAGTTCTGTGGCTGATCTCAACTTTTCTGTGAACACACTCTCCTCACAGCAGCCAGCACCTTCACATCCTACTGACACACCAGTAGAGAATGACTCGCAAGTTTATGCTTCTCCACCTGCTACCCAGACCACTGAAATAAGCTCATTTCCAAGATCCAATTTGACTATGCCTGTGTCAGAAAGTACCCATCACCTGGGCATGGAAATGATGCCTTCGGGGTCCATGACGTCACCTCCTGCCTCCAGAATGCCAGGAGCCAGCTCATCTGCCTTCTCAACCGGTCCACTCTCTAGGGCTGAGTCCAGCCTTGGGGATGCTACTATGCCCTCCCTGGCCGGGAGCCCACGTTCACCAGCATCAATGCCATTCCACTCTCCCAACCTCACTGCAGTTGACTCGTCAACCAGCCCCATTCCCTCTGGGTTAGGTTCCTCTCCAGCTACCTCACACATGGTAGAGACCCATCTTGGCACAGAGAGCAGCACTACTGCTTGGAACCAGCCCATTCTGGGTGCTAACATGACTCAGCAGGTTGACTCAGAAAAAATGACAAGTGCATCTCAGGTTCCTGCCCTTGCAACCGAGTTCACAAGTAAGAACCCACAGCTCCTGCATTCCCACTCTTTTGTGTTCTTGTGAGAAGTGATGCTCCCCTCCAATCCAGCTACCAATGGGAGGTAAAACGGAGTTGATTAAGAGTCAATTCCTACACTGGGAATTCTTTTAGCAAGCACTTGTTGGTCTAAATTTCAGCTCCAGGTGTAGGACCAGTCCTTGGAAATTCAAGCTTTAAGAAAGC